TTTTACCGTAACACAACAACAATAACGATCACTAGCGAAACGAAAACAAAAACACGAACGAAGCAAAAACAAACTTCCCCTCAGTCCTAAAGTTCAGGATTAGCAGCCCGGAAAAGGGAAACTGCTGAGCTGTAAAGGAATTATGGAAAGTCCGTGAAAGTGGTCTGTAGACTGATGCGATGATGGGATTTGTTCTGTTCTTCCCATTTGACATCTGCGTGCACATTCCAAGAAAGACAAACTCCTGCTCCAGAGTAGCTAACAAGGGACTGTTGAGAGTTGTTTAAAGAGAAGTTACTTGAGAGTTGTTTTCCCTTGAACCCTGGACTCTTCTCTGCCTTAACCAGCCACAACCAGCTCAGAGGGTCACCTTGAAAAGCACGCACAGTAGCTCAGAGTGTTCAAAGTGCTGAGCACTGCTGCCACCCTTAGTAATTAATCTCTGGCCTTTCAGTAAACAAAGGGATTTGTGATTTACAACCAAACTGAGATCATACTTAACATCATCACCATTACAATTATAGGATAACATTCTTTGTATCTTTGGATCAAAGCCTGCAATCCATTCAAAACGAGGTTCATTATTTTTAGAGGTCATTTGAAAGAAAAAAAACATAGCAAAATGTTTGTTAGTAATAACATTTTTTGCATGCTCTGAATATCCACGTACATGTATTAAAATTGGGAGGCAAGTTGGTGCAGTCATTAGCATTGCAGCACAGGGGCCCAGGGTTCAATTCCAGACCTGGGGTACTACCTGCAAGGAGTTTGTATGTTCTGTTCTGCCATGTTTCTGTGGATTTCCTATGGGTGCACGGGTTTACTCCAACTGTCTTAAAACATACTGACAGGTTAAGTGGCTTCTGGGAAAACAGGCCCTTGTGTGTGTCTAAGTGTGTCTGCCCTGCCATGACTGGTATCCCATCCAGGGTGTATCCTGCCTTGTTCCCCTTGCTTGCTGGGAATAGGCACCAGCTCACCCAGGACCCTGAATTGGAAGAAGTGATTAGAAAATGGGTGGATAGATGTATTAAAACCTAATACCACTAAAACAGCCATGAGCTATAGTGGCACAAGACGGACGCCTGTGGACCTCCTTTGCATACAGGCATGATGGGAGTTCGGGATTAGTATACATACTGTAGTTGCATAATTCTCCTGTTCATGTTAAATCCTGAGTTCCTGCTGTTATGTTCCACACATGTTTGGTCTGTTACGACGTAGTGTGTGCATGTTTTTATTGGGGATGAAAAAAAAGAGAGGAGGGACTTGAAACACAACTTTCTCATGATGGTAAGAGGTGGAAATCAGTCAGTTGTTTTTCCTGGAGTGTGTTTCTCAGCATTATCTCTGCAATAGGGTTCATAGTTAAAGCATTATTTGTAAGTTAATATTTAACCATAGATATGAAGTAACACTCTTAAAAAATGTATACAAAATAGTCAGGCTGGCAATTTTTACACTTAATATTAAGACAAGAACATTAACAAATGTTTGTTTAAATATAACCTAGATTTAATTCAGATTTAAAACTAGTTAATGCCAGTCTTGTTATTCTTTTTATTTTATTTCACAATAAAATGAAAGTGAACTTTTGTCTACCTTAACAGTAAACAAATATTTACTATTTTCTGTATAGTATAAAAACGTACAATTTCAAGTATCTGCATACAGTATATGATATTCTTAGAAATACACTGTGATTAGATGACTTTTGTAATTTAATGGCTATAACTATTCATAGAACTATTTTAATTGATGTGCAGTCAAAAAGTGTCTTATCTTAAAGAAAACAACTGCTTCTTCTTAACACAGTTATTGTTCGTGATCATCCTTATTGGCTGCCAGACAATTACTGAAAAATCCGTTATTTTTACGGTTTCTGAAATGTGCGCGATACTTCAGTATCCCTTGTCAAAGAAAAAAAAATCATTTCAAGACACAGCAATGTTAACATTTTCATTTTTCACTCCATAAAAATCCATCACACTCTTCTGTCACACTAAAAACTCTTTACCATATTATCTCCTGAAAAACAGACTCGTGTGTGTAGTTTCCAAAAAATAGGAGTTATTACAATGATTGCAGGAAGAACCAAACACTATAAACAGTTCTTCTATAAAGAAGGGAAAGAATGTGTTTAATTTAATTGCAATTAACAGAAAAACCTGGATTGGATTCTGAAGGAAACCCTGCTAGCCTGTTTGATTGAGACTCCCTCCAGCAGACATCACGCAGTCATGCTATCTGCAGAACAGAATGTAAATCAGCCTCACTAAACACAAAGGACAAACCGAACCCGGGTCTCAATCACCCTCCATTCTCTCTCTGCCCCCTACTGCTGACAGAAATAAAACCCTCCAGGTCTCTGCTGCACAGACGGAGTTTCAATTATTGTGACTTTATTCCCCTACGGCTCGTAATTTGTAAATATTGAGATCGCATTCCTGGCTCCCAGCCTAAAGCTTTCCGTTAATATACACTGCATCCCACTCTCTCACGACGTAAATTACGGCTCTGGAAGGAACTCCGAAGCAAACAATTCCGACTTCCAAAAAAAGAGCATCAGAAGTCAAGCTTGCTTCTGTCATTGTCAATTCAATTTTTCTTTTTATTTCCTGGTTTATTTAATTCCTCCTGCTTAGCCTTAACATGCGCTGACTGCTTGCAAGAATAGGTTTCACAACACAGTTATGTTATGATTATGAAATGGAGGGATTTTTCCCCACTGTGGGCCACCTGCCCATCCAATACATTTACCCTGGAGTGGGCAGGCTGCCCACAGCGAACATAAACAGGAACCAATAACTATAAACATCCCCTCCTCTTGTCCTTTCTGTGGTTCATGGGCAGGCAGGCTGCTGAAGGCGTGAGTCACAGCTACAGTATTCATGAGCAGGTAGTACCTAGGCCATACATCACCCAGTCCACAGATCTGACAGCCACACAGGGCCTCCTTAGGGACACTCACAGGCAAGCTCACGGAGAGCGGGCAGCCCATGAGGTCGATCGCTGATAATCCCCAGCTCAGTCAAGGCATCTCTCCTCACCGTTACCACATAGATTCCACGTCAAGGACAAAGCCCAAAGGAAAACCCCAGCCCTGGCACTGTCTGCCTCACTCTGCTGGAGCAGCAAAATACAGTATATACTTTCGAGAGAAAAAAAAAAAAGATTCAAGTTCTCCCATGAAGAAAACCTTGACACGAAGGACAAAGCTTGCTCAACTGACAGAAAAGACAGTACTAAACACCGAGGCTTCCTCTCAGCATCTCTACGACTGCAAACTACTTACTATAAATGCAAAAAAAAAAATCGAAAGGAATAAAACAGCTTACTTGACTAGAAAAAAAAAAACTGACAGTGCATGTGCACTGCACACAACTACTTAACGCTTCAGATATTAACTGTCTCGCATTCCTATATGGGAAGATTTTTTTTCCCCATCTGTTTGACCTTTTTTCTCATTCAGGCGTAACAGCTATCTGCAGAGCGACTGCAGGAATTACCCTGTACTGTATATACAGTATCTATAATTACATCTGTAGCTATCGAGAAATAGATCTACTTTAACTCTCATTCCAGGGCAAAATGAAATCCACGTTTGCATGCAATTGAATTGGGCAAAGCCGTTTAGAAGTCCCTGGCAGGAGGAGGTTTTAATCCCTAATTTCTGCTGATTGTCACCGCTCTGGAGGGCTGCAACGGCTCAGCTACGCCGGTGGAAGTGGAGTTTTCTCCGTTCGGAGTTCAACTTCTCAGTAGCTGAAGACAGTTGACCTTGGCGCTATGCCAGGAATGGAATCCTGCCTGCAGGCATTAAAGTGAAGGTAACCCGTTAGCCAACGAACCCTCATCAACACTGCCAACCAGGCCTTTTATATCTCAGCGATTATTTATTCAATGCTTTGTTTCCGGTGCTTTGCAATGCTGTTTTATTTCCTTCATCAGGTTTGTACGTATGACTATTAGAATATCCTTTCTTTTAAACTGCACCTGACGTGATCTCAGGGCACTTGACTATAGAACAACAAATGAGAATCGTATACACTAATGAACACAGTGAATTAAACAGGCTTAAAGGCTTGAGTATGAAAGTGAGAGTTATAAGGCTGGATTATTGAACCGGTTCTTTGACACATCCTTTAGCATTGATTTGATGACAACGATACTGTGCCAGCCCTCAGCTGTCAGTGCTGAGGAAGGTCACAGTAAAGGTACTTCAAATTAAAGCACGACTGAGAATTTGACCTCAGGATTCTGAAAAAGACACAGCAGTGGGACAGGAGTTCAGGTTATAATTTTAGTGCGATTTGTATCTGGATTGCTGCAGGCAGACACACGTACGGCAGGCAATTCAGCGATGAAATCCAGTTCTATTTTTTTTCCCCATCTTACATGGAAAGTAATCAACAAAGGAAATACGCGTGACTCTTTTTATTTTACAGCTTTTATTGCTCATTAGCGAGACTGTGGTCTCTTCGTCTTCCTGTGGGGTGATTCTGTGCTTTCTGCTCCCTCAGTATAAAGCCTGCCAGGAAACGTCACTAGGGCATAGCAAGTACAAATTTCATCCCCGTAGCCACCATCACCTTTCCCACTTTGTGTGTAATGCTGGAGCTCGCTTTTCTGATGCTAAAGCAGGTTGATGACCCCATGGGAAAGCACTGCGTAAACGTTTAGAATACTGTACGTTCGGAGGAACATGCACAAGAAGCACAAAAACATCCACCCAGCTTCTAACCAATTTATCTCATTTAGAGACTGGGGGCAGCCTGAGCCCATCATGGCAAGGAACGGGCACTGAGCAGGATACACCCTGGACAGGACTCCAGTCCATCGCTGGGCACACACTCACACCAGGGCCGGGAAGCCAATTAACCTAATCGCTCCTCCAGGACCAGGGCTGGGTGCCACTGCTGGAGACGAAGACACGTTCAGTCAACACGGCACAAATAAGAGTACAGGAGTTCTAGGAAGAGTGAAAGAAAACACAATACCTTTTGTGGACAGGTCCTCTAAACGTTGGGTCAAACTTGCGAGGTTCACCTGCAAACAAAGAGTTAAATACGTTGAATATATAGCACTTCTCAAGCAGGAGTGTTGAACCAAACTCATTTTCATTCCGTATGCCGCCTTGCTAGTGCTCTTGTGTTGAGACGCCTGATGTCCTCCAGCTGGGTGGGGCAGGCATCTTTCTGTGCATATACTGTACCAAACACTGAAACATGAAAATTACTCTTTTCCATTCTATCGTTTCAAACAGTGCAGCTGCACTGAAACATGCAAATATGTTTGACACAATTACTCTGTCAATCACAACGAAGAACCATAACCGTCTCTGCAAAATGCATCATTTACACTCTGATTGCAAGTCAGGTGAGAAATGAATGTGAAATCAAGAGAAATTCTTAAAGATGGTCCGACTTGTCCAAAACATGAAGCTCAATTAAAGTTAATTAAAGGAATTTAATCAAAGCTAAGCAGCTCCTATGTATGCTAAATTTATACAATGAAAACATTTTTTCTTGTCTGTTAAAAAAACAAAACAAAAAAGCAATTAAAAACATTGTTGCTTCAGTTGGTTCTAAATACCCATTTCAGGGAAGCCCCATGAGGAAAGAAAAACTCTAACGACACTCGGCATTCCAGTCAAGCTTGTCCATGTTGTCCTCAGACATAATTACCTGTCCTGGGATTTTGCTTATGAATCAGTCTTTTCCCATGAAGGAGAAAACTGCCTTCAAAGGAAACCAAGGAATGTGAAGAATTTAACCACTGCAGTGCCTCAGATGTGTAACGTACACAAAGGCACACAGTGACACCTACTACTGTAATACAGTATATATTGTACGTTGAGTTTAATATAATTCCCCATCCACTAAATCTGCCCATGATAATGTGCTTTTTTCTCAATATTGCACAGTCAAGTTACTTGTTCACTCCTTTCTTTCAGAATGACTGTGTCCAATGAGCTTTCAGCAATAACATTTGCCTTAAAGTTTCACTCGCACAGTATCTACTGAATCTTCCTTTACCATAAGCTGTTTACCCACAGCCTTGCAATTGACCATTTAAAGACTTATTGTGTAAAAACAACATAAAACATTTAATCACACTATGCTTCACTTGTATTACGCTGAATTATTAATTACCATATCACCCAAAGGACAGTACCTTCCATGGCACCTAGTGTGTGGTGTCCATGGTCACCACAGTGGGGTGGTGTTTTGGAAATGTACAGCAGGTGGCAGAGTCCCTTCTACTGATTCACCAACACCACTTAGAGCTTCTTGCAGGTCTCCAATACCAGTATTGACCAGGCTCAGCCTTGCTCGGCTTTTGATATCTGTCAAGATTAGGCTACAAGGTAATAACGCTGCTGTCGGTAGTATTTTATTCTCACAGCTTGCCTGATGTATAAACATGGTGAATGCATCATTGGAAAGATTAGAGGTCATTTTCATGGATAATTTAACGGATAGTAACTGCCAGGGTTTTGTGCTCATGGAGACATACAGTAGCACTTCGATTATCAACACTTGTCAGCAGTAAGGTTAAAGCCTTAATGCTTTCTCTCCTACTCATTAAACAACCGTTTATGTATATTTAGTTTAAGGGTAATTGTTGGGCTAATTATCACTTAGCCCAAATTTCAGGAGATCCTTGAGTAAGGAGAAGATCCACACTGGGGTACTGAATCTGAACAGACATTTTCTGGGTGATCTGGAGGCTCACAGATTTAGATTTACATTTAGATGCAAAAAGTTAATTATCATGACAATTTAATCGATCAGATTAAGGTTGGTGAGAAATACCTCCTGTAAGTGCCTTGAAGGTAATCCAGAAAAGCAATGGTTAATAATTCAGAATTTTAGGGCTGTGGATAAGATGTTGACAATGGGATGATGACATTCAAAAGGAAATGTTTTTCTCTGCAACAGATAATATTTTATTAATGATCTGTTTCTTATCAATGCTGCAAAGCATTGTGTGGAACTGTAAACAAGTCTTTGACTTCTAACATTCACTTTATGAAAAATATTTCCATTAAAATAAAGGAAGGCAAACAGTGATTTGCAGAGAAAGCTAGACCACAAGCATAGATATTACTGTTATAATCATTGTGATAATTGTTACAGTATATGGGGACTATTGAAAATCCATTTTCAATTGTTTTTGTTTTCAAATAATTGCCAAGAAAACAGAGATAAGAATATATTATTTCCAAACAAGGCGGTTTTTGAAGAAGCTGCCAGAACTGGTGAACAAATGTATCCATGTCAGGCAGATAATAGCTATAGAAATTACTTATAAAGACTGATGTAAAATATTCTGCAGATAAATATGAAAAATGAAATATATGATTACATACAGCATGGGGAATCATTGCTTAACTGCGAGGCACTCTGTTCAGTGAATCCACTCGGCATTACAACATTACCAATGGTTTAACGGTTTAATACTTTTAAACCTCATCACAACATCTTGGTCAGATCTGCCTCAACGCATACATGTGAAGTTATTGTTATACTTTTCATTACCATACACAATATTTTTTAATCATTTCACAAAGCATCGCACGTGTAGATGATCTCCAATATCCTCGAAATACAACCATTAAGTTTGTTTTCAGAAGAAACCCACTGAAGCTCTGCATGATTCTGCGAAATCAGCACATACTGTATCTATTTAAACTGATGGTTACAAATTTACAAGGCAAAACTGTATTAAATAATTTAACTTGAAGCCATGCCTTTTTATACCACTGATCACGTGCTTGTTGAACACATATCCTGAACACTGTACCTTTCATTCTGCTTTTTGGCATAGTTTCGTAGTGCCACTTCCATAAATAACATATTGATCATTAGCTCAAGGAGTTGGTTGTAACAGAGACAAGCACCGCAACAAACTAGAAACTGCTTCTGCTACCAAGGGAATGATTAAAACAGTTCATAAATCTTACATAGATTTTAAGGCAAGCTTTGCTGTTTGTCTTCTAGAACTTTAATTACAGGTACCAGCTGTAGCTTGAGATTTAAAAGCAGAGGTACAATACCACCTACAAGAAAAGTAGCTGATGCAGAGCTTTGGACTAAATTGTGTTGTCGTTTTCTGCAGAACACGTTAGCTGACTGAAACTGTTTGGAGACGAAAAATCCTATACCGGGCAGAAGGATTTTTGACCTTTTTTCCTTGTATGTCAATGTGTGTCACCCCTCGTCAGTGTTTATTGAATATTTCCTGACATAAAAACAGAATTGGGACGACTTTGATTTTGCTGTATAGATTTAGCTGGTACTACAAGTCTACATCACTTCAGAGCTGCCTTTGAGAAGCTGACAGTGAATAGATGTGCTCTGTGTAATTTGAAAAGGCAATAAGTATCAAATGCTTTTTTTTTTACCCATTCATCCTGTCAAAAATGGTCCGTACTAAGAATAACAAAACGTATTTGAATGCATTTTAGCATGCGGGTGTACTGAAGCATGCAGGTGTGTAAATGTGACATGTTCTCGTAGTTAAGTGGAAGTACAAAGCATGCTTTTGAATCCTCATCAATTTATTTTTTGGTCCTATTTCCAGAAATAGCCAGTATCACTAGTGCAGAGTGCTGCAAGTTCTTGATTTTTAACAAGAAAAGGGAAAGGAGGAATTAATCATGACATGTACGGTACAGTTAAATTTAATAATTCTTCACGTTTTGCTCATTCCTTCTGTTTGCTCCCTGGGAGGATCCTAATTCTCACTGGCGTTAATGATAGCAATGCTTTTATAGAAACACAATGAGATCACTCTGTTCCATTAGCAGTTATTATGCTCAGACATGAAAAACCCTAAGAGTTAAATGACAGTGGAAAGGTAGTTATGTGCTCTTCTCAGTGCTAAACTAGCATTTAAGCCATTGAGTGGAAGTCTGGTGCCTACATTAATAAATGTTATTCGGAAGTCAGTCTTAAGCCACAGTTTGTTTTACTTTCAGTTCACAGTTACATTTCTCATTAGTTGCTTGACCTCATAAGAATTTAATACTTTTTAAAACAATTTAAAAGTTTGAAAAATTGCAATTAAGTAAAGAGTTGCAATACTGTACAGAAATGCATCTTTTTCTCAGTACTCAAGACCACTACACAGAACGGCATTTTTTTTTTTACAAGAATTTAATATTCATTAAATTACTTCTTCTGCAAGTGTAAGCACAGAAGACGTGTGAGATGGTTAATGGCCCTGGTGCTGCATTCTTTCAGGAACGACGTGATTCAAGAAAAATAGGTTTAATTTAAAACACCTTTAGAAATGGCAAAATTACAAGCACAGATAAGGATTCCCCAGCAAAATGCAAACGAAAACGGTGTGCTGAGCCAGGAACTGTTCAAGACTGCAAAGGTCCTTGCAGACAAAATCAAGTCTGTGCAGCTGAAGCAGCTGATACATCTGACCGCAAATGTTTGCAGAACAGATGAATTTCCTTAAGACAGGGCTAAAGGATTTTGCTGAATTTAGGGCTCTTTGCATTATGAAATGTAAAATTTTCACAAAAAAAGAGCTCACTAACAGGTGCAGTTAATGAATGAGCAGTGCACAATCGTAATATCTTGAAACGAATGCTTTGGTTTTTTTTTTTAACGTTTAAGTTTTCTTTCCTACCTCAGAGAGACAGAAAAGCATTCAACCAAAACAGATAAAATTGACTAATCATGCCACACCAAAACACTTTTCAGTTTTTTTTACAATATCTAAATTCTTTGTGTATCTTTCTCCAAAATATAGGTATGGTAATGAGGGCACATGATAAAAAAAAGAATCTGATAAACTGTAATTGCAGTTGATAATTTACGGTTTTACTTTCTGTAAAACAGTTTCCTGGTTTCCTGTTCTTTTTTCCCCCAATTAAAAAAAGGAAGGAAACTATTGCAAAATTGTGCACAATCTTTGCATATTTTCAGACAGGGAACACAAAATGTTCTAAAGGATAAGGAATCTGTACCCATTAATTTCTGTACTCTTGTTTCTACTGTATGAAAACTGCCTTCTTTATTGCATAGAATCTCAGAAAATGTAAAATGCTTAAAAAATGCACATATCCATTGATCCATTAATTCATCCTGTTGCGTCCCAGTAAAGCCGAGCTTATCTACCTGCCTGGGTAAAGGCAATGACTGGTCACCGGTCATTGCAGAATACGCACACAGGCAAAATTTAGAGATGGAAATTAACAAGGCTGCTAACTATATAGCATCTTAGCTCAAAGATGAGAGAAATAGACCACACACAGGAAACCCACAGAAATACAAACAGAACCCAGAGGAGGCGCCTAGCCCAGAATCCAACCCAGGACGCACAAGCTGCAAGGCAGTGGTGCCAGCTGAAAAATTAATTAACCAATTAGCTGCAGGTGCTTCACTTCCATTCAATTCAGGGTTAGCACATTTTTCTGTTCCCTCGCAAGGATTAGACAAAATGGGAACCCAGTCAAGAAGAACAGGTTTTGGACCAAACAGGTGGTAAAGTTATTACGCCCCAACTTTGAGAGGGGCTGTCATGGGTTCCTAACAGTTTTTCAAGGCAAGAAAATAAGTTTGCATCACTTGTGCAAATCAGAAATAACCACAGGCAGATTACACTTCCAAACAATTCTAGTTTTTCCTTCAGAATTCACACCGTTTCCCCCCATGAATAATACAGCAATGGACAGGTCAGACAAAAATGGAACAAATTTCTGTATGTTACCTTTAAATCATAAGCCTAAACCAGAAGAGTCAAAGTTTAATAGCGAAGAAAGTGTTCTCTTTCAGCCAGCAGAATTCAGACTTTTAAAATTGATTTTCACTCCCAGTCCCAAGCAAGACCTCTGTTATTTAGCTTGTACACCACTTCATTAATCACACTGGGCTTCAGCTGCAAAAAAAAAAAGCTTTTTTTATCTTCTGCACCTGAGATTCTAAAAAAAACCCTCATTATTCTCCCTTACAGTGTTTCATTATTTCCCAGTTAACTTGCCAGTAATCCCTTAACTTGCCAGTCCCCCAGCCATGCAAACTGAATCATTTCCTACTTCCAAACGTGTCTTTAATATATAAAATGTGTAAATAAAGAAGGCAAGCAAGACGTTTTCCTACCGTACCATAAAGAGAAGTGATACAGCAAAGTGTAACACCCATCCATTCAATATGTGCCCTGAATCTGGAAAAGAACCAGGGCACCGAGCACTAAAGAGGATATTTTTACAGAGCGTTTTCTGCTGAGCCAAAATCGAATAACAGCATTTGGCGTTTCTGTAGAAGTGTGGTGCCTTAGTCAACAGCAGTTTTCCATAATGTCCTTGTGCGCATAGATCGAGTCTTAAAGAGAAGCAACAATAGCGTCCCAGATAATTTCCATGAAAAGCCATCAGCCTCTTATCAAGGCGATGGTGGAAGTTCTCCCTGCTGTGCATGAGTCTGAAAATCTTTGTCTAAATTGCGAATATTTGCTTACCATGTTTCCCATAGTAGTTTTCTTTCCTTGCCTTGGCCATTGTAATTCTGGGTAATAAGCAGCCGTAGCTTTAGGACTGGAGCAGTTCTGCCTGGCCCTTTTCCATGTTTAACTGTCCCATGCAGCTGAATGTTCTGAGCGCAAGCTAATTATTAAAAGGAAAACGGGAAATCCAGGACTTCTGACCTGAAACACAGGGCAAATCAGGAGCCTAGTAAACGCCTGCAAACACTGCTTATCGCTCCAGCTATAATGCACACTGCCTGACCGCTGATGAGCCACACACAACGCAGTGCGTGTTCTCCCTTACCCCCTGCGCCCCCCTGGCAATGAGTCAACACAGCCGCCTTGCTCTCTAAGGCGGCCCTGTCACAAAACAGAAACTGAGCCCCCACTGATCTACAGGTGCCTGCCCTCCTGCCACACTTGTTAAAACCTAAAGATCGCCTCTCCTCCCTCTCACTGCTTCAGCTTCTGAAGGCTGGCTTAACGCACTTGGCTCTCCAGTGTTTAGAGAAGCAAATGTTCATCCTGACAAGGGGCACAAAGGGCTGTAGCAAAGACCTACACTGGCCTCCAGTACACGGTACAAAAATCCCACAATGACTCAAGATGCATAGAGGCAGTTTCAATTATTTGATCACATGGATAGAGAAAATGATGGCAGTAAGCCTGACCTTATTAATCATCCCCAGCCATCAGAGATAACCTATAAAAAGGTTACAAATCAGAGAAATCGACTGGGCCCCATCTAGGCCATTTAGTAGGTGTCAATTAATAAAAGAATCTCATCCAGCTGCTGACCGAAACAGGATTCAACAACATGGCTGAGTAGCTCCACAGTTTCCCCTTGTGTCATCTGGCTATTGTTTCACAGTTCATGGGGACGTTCCTCTGACGATCTTGAATACTCAGGTCCCCTTGCAGTCCTCCCTGGTGAAGGCTAGAATGGTTCAGTTCCTCCAGCCTGTCAGTGTAGGCCTTTTCCTCCTTTTCCCTTCTGGTTATTCATATTCATGTGCGAGGCAACTGCAAAGAAGCGAGATCTTCCCCTGCCTAAAACTGAAACTAAAACATAGTATTCTAAATGAAGCCTTGCCAGTACATTTGATGCCCTCTCGCACGCTGATCAGATCCACAGGGACTCTTGGTGTGCTGTCCAGTCTGTTAATCGGGCCCCCTTCCATGTCGGAGTGTGGAACGTACCTCCAACTTCATTCCCCCCCCTCACTTTAAACGTCACCTGTGGCTATGATGCTTACACCCATTCATTTGTGTAGTGAGGAGCTTTCAATTAACTAGGATCTAGAACAACTCTTATTTTGACATCCCAGAATGTACGATCTAACGTAAAACAGGGTATACAAGGCAACAGGAATTTCTGTAAGGGGTTAATTGAACCCTGATAATTGTACATACTTTACCTCCTTCACTGGGGGTATCAGTAGTATTTCACATGCTGTTCTCTGAATGGGCTGTCACTTGCTGGAGAGAGTACTTACCCACTGCAGAGAGGCAGCCCTGTGAGTGAGCCGCTGCCTCTGGTCTCTGGGGTAAGTTCCCCACCCCTCCACTACTGCTCTAAGGGCATTTGAATACACTGTCCTTTTAATGCTGTAGATTTGTCAGGACTGACTACAGCTCTGCTAATGATCACACGGACAGCTTCAGTATCTAAAAACTACCACAGCTTCACGAAGAGGGGATGATAGATCATTATAGCAATAATAATTGCTGTGCTGTTACATTATTAAGCTTAGAGCATGCATACTAAACCTCACCATAGCCAACAGAAGCAGTGAACAATGACATGTATTAAGGTCTCTCCACGCGGTCACTGCAGGTTCTCAGAAAGACATCAAAATGCATCTTGAACTATAATTTGCTTGTCTGCTGCAGGCACCAACTCAATATTTGCTAAGTAACATCTTCCCTACATAACAGCTGTGGACTTTGGTGATACTATTCCTTTGTACTGCATCTCATAGAAATGTTCTCATGGCCCAAAACCAGGGCTTTAAGATTTCTCAAAAGGCTTTCACACATTTTATTTTATTCTGAAATTGGGATCTGTATATTTACTGGCTAAGAATGAATTCATATTTTTTCCCTGCACAACTTGTCCAGTGTCAAGTAGGTCGGCGACCGCTGCTGAGGCTTTTAAAAAACATAGGTTAAATACCCACATACTGTAGGTTTATAAAAAAAATAGTTCATAATAGTTATCATGGCTGATCTGAAATGGTGCTGGACTAAAAAACGAAGTGATTGAAACAGAAGGGAGTTCAGTGCGTTCAGGAATGAATGAGACTGTATTCGTACCCTCCCCCTGTCACACTGAAAGCGCCAGGCAAGAGGAGATATTCCGGCAGCAGCCTCCTCCCGAAGTACAGGACCTTCATCACACGGACTTTAATCGACTATTCAAAGCAGCTGGGCGGTTGGGTTTTTCCAGATAAACCTCATAAAGATAAGAACATAAGAAGTTGCAAAGACGGATGCCCATTTGACCCACTGAGCTCATTTGCTACAGAGCTTTTGTAGCTGCGTGAATCATTCATTCCTGAGAGGAGCCCAGAGTCCTCAACCAACCGGCTGGGAAGCCCGTTGCGGATACCCACAATCCTTTGAGTAAAGAAGTGGTTTTGTTTTCCCTTGTCCTAACTGGATCCCCCATCTGCTTCCAACCTAGCTCATGAAATATACCATGACCTCACAGCAGTCCAACTAGTTTTCCTGCGGCACGGAAAAAAAAAGTTCACTTAACTTAGGACAACGGCATTCTGATGGCTTAACTAAGATTTACAGCCATATGTCTTGGAAATCTCTAAGCTTAGAAACTAGCATACAGTATATTACACCAATCAGCCGTGACTAATTAGGAGGTGTATACATTACTTAAACATTCTGCAGTACCACTACAAAAGAAGGTTTTGATGGTTAAAACATTTGTCATACATTAATAGGATATATTTTTACAGGCATCAAAATATTTTTTTTTAAAGTGAGAATAGTTTTCCCCGAACCACACTTATGCTGACAAGGTGTTATGGATTCTGTTATTGACATACGGAGAATTCCCACATCAGTGTGAAGCACAGAGGCACGGTGCAGTCACAGACAGGAGAAAGATCAAATTCTGCAGATGAAGATTCTCAATGCCTGCGGTTCCTGTGAATTTCAGCTCCCCCACCCACTCTCGGTCGATGTGCAGCGCGCGGTATTTTCTGCAGTGTGAAAGCAGGAAACGGTTCCGATGGGGTTTCCATTAGGTTGCCATGTTCAGCAATGCCCCCTCGATTGCAAAGCAAGATTCAACCCAGCACAAGTGCGACTTGGCGTCCCGCAAAGGTCACATCAGCAGTGCTTCTTCAGAGGCTCCCAGTTCAGTCTCAGAGAGGAACTGGGGTGGTCTGTTTACAGGGGCACACAATGATGACTGCACCACATGCCTTCTGAAAACCACTGCTGCAGCTGGAGCCCCAGTAGTCAGTATTCTGTTTGTTTGTCTTTTCCTCTCCGGTTACAGAAATCTCTCTATAGTTCGTATCAGGAGGCGGCTGGTGGCGACCAGGCTGATGCATCTCCGGAGACTAGAACAGCCAATTCATATTATTTACTAGCGTTTGACTCCGAGAGTTTGTTTTCAATTGTTTTGGAAAATTTACTGCCACAAGCAGCTCCATTAAAGACTAGCGAGCAGGTGCTGTTCTATACGAGATTCACTCGCATTCACTGTATACTGGATCAATGCCAGCCATCGACCTCGCGGTACTAATCACAAGTTGCTGTTGCTGTAATACATCATTAATTTCCATGGCGTATTTATTCCCTGAGCAGGTAGGACACCGCCTTGTGTAGTAGAGGTAGTACTACACAAGGCAGGATCAGGTGCTCATGGGAACATCTGCACCACAGTGGGTAAAAGCAAGTATAATCCTCAGGATTGGTAGAGCAGTTTTATGAAGCATCCAAGTGAAAGTCCAGTTAGAAACTGGGTTTGCAGAATAATAGGTGCAATTATTTATTTCATACTCTTGTGTGACATTTAGTTTACCATAGTCATGGGGAAGAAATCTCAAGCATCTGACTGCAATGTTACCTCTTCTGTTCTGTTAGATTACTTTGGCTCATGTTAAGGTTAAGTTTAGGCAATAAGACTGCTAAATAGCCAACCTGCAACTCCTTTAGCAAATCACCTGTAATGGCTACATGGACACACAGTTTTCACTGTATTCAGCATAACCACACTACTTGTATATATTGCATACACCATGGACACATAGCAGCTCTACTCATATTGAGTTTTATTCAGTTTCTATTACATCTATTATTATGTAACCTAATTTTCATAACCTCAATTTTGTGATTTTTGTGTTTCTGTGATTCTTGTGATTTCTGTGATTCTTGCGAGCTCGCGGAAAAGACATTTCATTGCCAGCAACTACTGCTGCACGCTGTGTTGTTGTGCATTTGATAAATAAACTTTGATTTGTCTGGTGAGTTCTTGCAGAGCAGTTGCTACAGATTTCTCCTGGTCTGCAAAGCACCTGAAGGCAGAGGGGTGAGCAGGCGGCCTGCTGCAGAGAGCAGAAAAAGATCTTATTAAATAAAACGGACAGCAGGTTAATAGCTCAGGCTTACCTGTATGTGCAGAGGGGCTACAGGCACGACTAGTCAAGTCTTGACAGCCCCAGAGTAAAATCATACCAACAGGTCCACAGTACTGTGCAGCTAAACAAATGCAGAAAAACACACTGCAGAGCCTAACATACCTTGGTCCATCAGGAGAACCAAGGACACTCAGTTTGCTTATTGATTTTTAAAATGCATGCAGCACCTGAATCCACCCACATGGACAAATCTTCTAATTAGGCCCAATGTTTAATCAGCAAAGTGTTTTGAAACGTGAGGCAACCAGCTGTGCCAGAAATCGTGTCAGTTTTGGATGACCTTGAGGCTCTGAGCTGCCGCTATGCTCTTCGGTTGCCTTGATCAGAATGACAGAGCATTCACTTTTTAAAAAACAAAAAAAGAAGAAAGAAATCTTCTATTTAGCTCAATTTAATGCCTTTCTCCAATGCTCCTTCCTTGGTAACTCTTTGTTACTATGTTCTAAATAAAGGAAGCACTCTCTATTCCAGCATCCTTCTCTTTTTAAAAACCCATCTTTTACATGGAGTACTGTACATGCTGCTCTCTTTGTATTGTCAGGAATTCAAACAGCAATAGAATTGCAGAT